TTTAATATTATTATTTAATATTTAATATAATTGTCAGGGGAGAAACAGCATTACACACCCACAAAACATCTACCAAGGAAAAGTCCAGACTTACCCACAGTTTTACCTCACAGCAACATTTGGAATACAACAATGAAAGAGCTGTGATGCTTTGATGCCATTTGGCAGGTACTGGCTTTATAATGAAATCAGCTCTGGGTCCTATGTTCACAAGCTTAAGCCCTAAGTTCACAAGAGTGAGAAGCTTGCTTTGACAATCTAGTCACTTTATGCAGATTTCTGTAAATGAGAACTTACTGTCAATCCATTCCTTTATAAACACATCTGTTTCATGCTAATGCTGTCAGTAAGACACTAAATACCATTCTTTCTTTAGAGGGTTAAAATGAACTGGGAAGACATCGCAGGAGACACTTGTATTGCTATAACCAGACTTGACTTGACTTTGTTCTGCAAATAAACCAGAATGTCAGTTTAACTTGCTGTCACCTAACATCTGTCACTACACTCCTGGCCAAACAAGCTAGGGAAATAGGTGACGCTGCTCTTCAACTGCAAAGCATCAAAATGGCTCGTGTACTTCACTTGCTTCTAACGGTGCAGGGAGATCCTCCTTTCGTTTGAGTGGCAGCAGCTTTTGCTCTCAGAACTGAGTTCTCATTTTCATCTTCATAGGTAGCGATATTTCAAGGGGTCAGCGATAACCTTAAGGTACCAGACAGCCATACCTTTGACACATTAATTCAAATACAGCTTAATGCACCTTAACTGGGGAGTGAATAGCTGCATTTTGGGAAGGTAGAGTGGGTAAGTCCGTCAAATAGTTTGAAAATGCAGAAGATGCTTCTCATTTGGCTCTGGAAACGGATGGAAACGAAGCTGTCAAATTAGAACAGTCTGCAGGGATATTAGCAAGAGCTTAATTTGTATCCTGCAGTGTTGCAAGGATTGTATTTCTACTTTAGGTTTTGGTCAAGCTTCACGTCCTGTGGCAGGCAACCAGGGCGCAACTGACAAGAGCAAGGGTGGTATTGGCTACCGTGATTCTAGCACTGCTTTTTTTCTGGAATAACCTAATGGGATAAGAATGGAGTCTAACAGATCAAATAAAGGACCGAACTCATTGCTCGCTTAATACTTTAAGTCTTGCTTGTAACATGGAAGCTTGTGTGAGAGAATGACTAATGGCGTATCCCACGAGGGAGCTCCAATAGAGATGCTTTAGGAGATTAAATGATTTAGCCTAGTACCCCTGAAAGCTATATTTTAAAGGGGCAGAAGTTTAATCATTGGAATGCTAGTTCCTTCAATAAAATTACATTTTAATTAAAGTGTCTCATGCACAAAGCTACAGTTAAGGGTATATCAGCAATTTAATGATAAAATTCTATTTTTAAGGGGTTATAACTTTGAAAGTTGGTGTCCAGGTTTTTGCCTGCTACGATAATTGACCTGACCTCCTGAAGATATCTTTGATAACAGGACTCTGTGCACTTTATGCCAATAACTTTGATTCAAAGCTTTAGGCGTTCTGCTATATTCAGAAGAGGTAGGATTCAGATCTCAGCTCCTTAGTATAAATCAGCAACAGCTCTGTTGAGTTAATGTAGTTGCAACAGCTTAAACTGAGTGCAACTGATGGAAAAGCTGTGCAGAAAGATTTCTCTTCAAAGGGTAGTATAATATTTAAAAACAAAAAGGGTAGCAAAAATAATAATTGATAAGTGTTTACGACAAAGGACAGCAGAAAAAACCACACAAGTCAGCTTCGCTGCAACACTAGTAGAACAGCCATACATATGCTGCTAGAATGTAATTTTGATTCCGGATATTGTTTGGGGAAAATAAAGGAATTTGGAGCCAGGAAAATACTAATTCAGTAAATAATAGCTTGTTAATTTGAAAGGCTTTTAACTGATGCTGTTAAAGAAACACACTGTGGCAACATTATTTAAAAGGCCATTTTGGTAGGTTTTATTACCCACAATACAACCATCTTGGACATTTTCTGTTGTTGTTGGCATGCCTAGAAGACATTGCAATGCATGACTGGCCAGGTCAATTCTAATGCTCAGCAACACATTGCATGCTGCTGAAGCAGAGTATTAGAAGAAGCCCTGTCGTTTCGCTGGTTTGGAAATCTTAGGTGTCCCATCACAATTATGATTGTGATTATTTTTTAAAAAAACAAGTTAAGGGACCTAAGTACCAAAATCCTACTGAATGTCAGTAACTTTAAAATCCCAATCTACTTTTTAAAACTTAACATACAGTATAATGTGAATGCAACTATTTCAGAAGCCAAAAGTATATATTCCTATCATTCAGTTCAGGACTGTTTTCTTTTTCTGAAAAAGATGTATTACAAACATAATCCTTTTAGGCTTCCAGGAAGCTAGACACAAAACTGCTTTGGAACCATATGATCGCAAGAGTATGTAAGATTACTGAGCTGGAAACATCTCCCACCTTGTCATGTCAAGATTTGTCCAAGGGAGTTACTTAAAGATTACTACTGGGTATTCCAGAGAAAGCTCTTTAGGATCCTACTTGAATGTCAAACAGATACTTTATAATTGGGGTAATTAAGAATTTAGGAGAGTTCTGCTGTTATTCAATACAAACATGACCTATGAATATCATTTAGGGAAAATTCCAAGTTTATGAAATTGAGGTGCCACTGCTGAGGAAAGCCAACTTCATTACAACCTCCTCAAACATTTTCTAAAACTTATTTTCAGTGCAGCAGCTCTCCTAATATACAGCAGTTCAGTTCAACTATCTATAAGCTGTCTTTCTATAGAACGACAAGAATGTAATATATAGGTGGGAGGAGCAGTGGTAACTACACAAAACCATAACCACTTCTGTCACTGATTTACATAACATTGTTTCAGTTCACAAAACAACATGCTTTTTCCTGAGTCTAAGCCTCTACAATCGGAATAGAAACATAATATTCATGTTTGGAAAGCCCCT